AGAGGTCCCACTGTGCTGGCTGCTGTACAAACACTTAGTGTCTCCCTGTGATGCATAAAACCTTGGGACGCTGCCTCTGATGTAGTAGCCCTAACATTGCATAAGAGCGGTGGTAGTGTGGACATGGAGATGTGTGTGTACACGGTGTTATGCCTATAACAATCTTGGGGTTCATTAAATAACAAACCAGTGAATGAGAACACCTCTAGTGAACTGCTGCACATAGCCATGCGGTGTTCCCTACTCCCGTCTCCATGACACATTTCCAAATTGCTATGCTCATATACTGTCCCTTATGAGGGAATGTCTCTAAAATATAATCTTCTACCAACATATCTCTACACTACCCATGTGCAGGACAGCATAATGTGGACACTGACACCAGTATGGGGTGTGTGTGAGCGTATATATGGTCGAGTACTGGAGTATGAGCACCAGAATAGACATAGCCTAAACTCCCAGAGAGAGAGGCCCTGTCCAAAGAATTTGACTGTCTTGTTATGTAGGTTGTAAAGACTGAGAAGGCAAAGGTACAGTGTCACTGGGCCAGTCAGTGGCAGCACCAGAAACAAAACCCAAGTCTTCTGAGTCCAAGTCCATGGCCCTGATTACTTCTGAAAGGTTCAAACAAAAAGGAGGAAGCAGGGTCAGGAAATCTCTGAGAGGAAACTGTCGATTCCTATTCTGAATTCATGGCAGTTTGAATGGTGACTGAGGGTCTGATCCAGCATGCATTGGACTCAGTACAAGTCTTTCTAGTGGTTTCAATGGGAGACTGGATTCGATTCTAATATGTTGAATCCCAGAGGTGCTGACAACAGATCCCTCTTCTCAATGCAGATTTAAAGAGACAAGTGTGTGTAGCGGGGGGGATTAGTATCTTTTATTGGTCCAATAAAAGATATTTAACTCACCCACCTTGTCTGTCTAATATCCTGGGACTGACATATATGCAGCACAGTTGTAGCCAAGTGCAGAAGAGACGGAGATCACTTAGATCTACCAGTAGGCGTGCATCATGACCTCACCAAATCCTCTGAGTAATGGGACAGCTGAGAGAGCTGCTGGGGTAGAGAACTTTACAGAAAACAAAGTACAATTCTAAAGATTTGTGCTGGGTAACAGAGAGAACATAACATAAGAATGGCCATACTGAGTCAGACCAAAGGTCCATTTCGCCCAACATCCTGTCTTCCAAGAGTGGTCAATGCCAGGTGCCCCAAAGGGAATGAAGAGAACAGGTAATCATCCAGTGATCTATCCCCTGTTACCCATTCCCAGCTTCTGGCAAACAGAGGCTAGAGACATCATCCCTGCCCATCCTGGCTAATAGCCATTGATGGACCTATCCTCCATGAATCATAGAATCATAGAATATCAGGGTTGGAAGGGACCCCAGAAGGTCATCTAGTCCAACCCCCTGCTCGAAGCAGGACCAATTCCCAGTTAAATCATCCCAGCCAGGGCTTTGTCAAGCCTGACCTTAAAAACCTCTAAGGAAGGAGATTCTACCACCTCCCTAGGTAACGCATTCCAGTGTTTCACCACCCTCTTAGTGAAAAAGTTTTTCCTAATATCCAATCTAAACCTCCCCCACTGCAACTTGAGACCATTACTCCTCGTTCTGTCATCTGCTACCATTGAGAACAGTCTAGAGCCATCCTCTTTGGAACCCCCTTTCAGGTAGTTGAAAGCAGCTATCAAATCCCCCCTCATTCTTCTCTTCTGCAGGCTAAACAATCCCAGCTCCCTCAGCCTCTCCTCATAAGTCATGTGTTCTAGACCCCTAATCATTTTTGTTGCCCTTCGCTGGACTCTCTCCAATTTATCCACATCCTTCTTGTAGTGTGGGGCCCAAAACTGGACACAGTACTCCAGATGAGGCCTCACCAATGTCGAATAGAGGGGAATGATCATGTCCCTCGATCTGCTCGCTATGCCCCTACTTATACATCCCAAAATGCCATTGGCCTTCTTGGCAACAAGGGCACACTGCTGACTCATATCCAGCTTCTCGTCCACTGTCACCCCTAGGTCCTTTTCCGCAGAACTGCTGCCTAGCCATTCGGTCCCTAGTCTGTAGCGGTGCATTGGGTTCTTCCGTCCCAAGTGCAGGACCCTGCACTTATCCTTATTGAACCTCATCAGATTTCTTTTGGCCCAATCCTCCAATTTGTCTAGGTCCTTCTGTATCCTATCCCTCCCCTCCAGCGTATCTACCACTCCTCCCAGTTTAGTATCATCCGCAAATTTGCTGAGAGTGCAATCCACACCATCCTCCAGATCATTTATGAAGATATTGAACAAAACCGGCCCCAGGACCGACCCTTGGGGCACTCCACTTGATACCGGCTGCCAACTAGACATGGAGCCATTGATCACTACCCATTGAGCCTGACAATCTAGCCAGCTTTCTACCCACCTTATAGTGCATTCATCCAGCCCATACTTCCTTAACTTGCTGACAAGAATACTGTGGGAGACCGTGTCAAAAGCTTTGCTAAAGTCAAGAAACAATACATCCACTGCTTTCCCTTCATCCACAGAACCAGTAATCTCATCATAAAAGGCGATTAGATTAGTCAGGCATGACCTTCCCTTGGTGAATCCATGCTGGCTGTTCCTGATCACTTTCCTCTCATGCAAGTGCTTCAGGATTGATTCTTTGAGGACCTGCTCCATGATTTTTCCAGGGACTGAGGTGAGGCTGACTGGCCTGTAGTTCCCAGGATCCTTCTTCTTCCCTTTTTTAAAGATTGGCACTACATTAGCCTTTTTCCAGTCATCCGGGACTTCCCCCGTTCGCCACGAGTTTTCAAAGATAATGGCCAATGGTTCTGCAATCACAGCCGCCAATTCCTTCAGCACTCTCGGATGCAACTCGTCCGGCCCCATGGACTTGTGCACGTCCAGCTTTTCTAAATAGTCCCTAACCACCTCTATCTCCACAGAGGGCTGGCCATCTCTTCCCCATTTTGTGATGCCCAGCGCAGCAGTCTGGGAGCTGACCTTGTTAGTGAAAACAGAGGCAAAAAAAGCATTGAGTACATTAGCTTTTTCCACATCCTCTGTCACTAGGTTGCCTCCCTCATTCAGTAAGGGGCCCACACTTTCCTTGGCTTTCTTCTTGTTGCCAACATACCTGAAGAAACCCTTCTTGTTACTCTTGACATCTCTTGCTAGCTGCAGCTCCAGGTGCGATTTGGCCCTCCTGATATCATTCCTACATGCCCGAGCAATATTTTTATACTCTTCCCTGGTCATATGTCCAACCTTCCACTTCTTGTAAGCTTCTTTTTTATGTTTAAGATCCGCTAGGATTTCACCATTAAGCCAAGCTGGTCGCCTGCCATATTTACTATTCTTTCGACTCATTGGGATGGTTTGTCCCTGTAACCTCAACAGGGATTCCTTGAAATACAGCCAGCTCTCCTGGACTCCTTTCCCCTTCAAGTTAGTCCCCCAGGGGATCCTGGCCATCCGTTCCCTGAGGGAGTCGAAGTTTGCTTTCCTGAAGTCCAGGGTCCGTATCCTGCTGCTTACCTTTCTTCCCTGCGTCAGGATCCTGAACTCAACCAACTCATGGTCACTGCCTCCCATGTATCTAGTTCTTTTTTTGAGCCCTGTTATAGTCTTGGCCTTCATAACATCCTCTGACAAAGGGTTCTACAGGTTGACAGTTTTGTGTGAAGAAATGTTGCTTTTTGTTTGTTTTAAACTTGCTGCCTATTAATTTCATTTGGTGGCCCCTAGTTATTGTGTTACGAGAAGGATTAACTAACACTTCCTTTTTTACTTTCTCCATACCAGTCATGATTTTATAGACCTCTATCATATCCCCGTCTTAGTCAACTCTTTTCCAAGCTGAAAAGTTCCAGTCTTATTAATCTCTCCTCATATGGAAGCCGTTCCATACCCCTAATCATCTTTGTTAGCCTTTTCTGTACCTTTTCCAATTCCAATATATCTTTTTCTGAGATGGGGAGACCACATCTGCATGGAGTATTCAAGATGTGGGCGTACCATGGTTTACATAGAGGCAATATGGTATCTTCTGTCTTATTATCTATCCCATTCTTAATGATTCCCAATGTTCTGTTTGCTTTTTTGCCTGCCGCTGCACATTGAGTGTATGTTTTCAGAGAACTATCCACAATGATTCCAAGATCTTTCTTGAGTGATAACAGCTAATTTAGACCCCCATCATTTTATATGTATAGTTGGGACCATGTTTTCCAATGTGCATTACTTTGCATTTATCAACATTGAATTTCATCTGCCATTTTGTTGCCCAGTCACCCAATGTTGTGAGATCCTTTTGTAGGTTTTTGCAGTCTGCATGGGACTTAACTATCTTGAGTAGTTTTGTATTGTCTGCCAGTTTTGCCACCTCACTGTTTATCCCTTTTTCCAGATCATTTATGAATATGTTGAACAGGACTGGTGCCAATACACACCCCTGTACTGGGGTCTAACAATATCCAGCTTCCCCAGCATAGTGTTCCTGTCACCTATGGCTTCAGGATAGCACCTGCGTTCAGGGGTTCCCCTGACAGCTGCTGCCTCCTGACTAACCCCCACTTCCCAGGAGAAGGGGAAACCAAGGAAGGTAATAAATCTGTAGGCTTCAATAACTTCCATTATTCTCCTCAGTGGTCTAGAATAGAAAGAATCAAAAGCACAGCTGTCTCCACTGAATTTGTCAAGAATTTGTCCCATTCTGAAGGAGGATGAAAAATTGAATCTCAAACATTTTTACAAACCAAAAGCGAAAAAGGAGAAAATATTTTTGTTTTGGGTCAATGAGAACATTTAGTTTGGATAACTTAAAAATGTTTTGATGTTGATCTGTTAACTTTTAAAAAATCTAACTGATATTTTGAAATAAGAAGTTGTTTTGAATTGGGAAAAATGTTTTGAAATTGTCAAAACATTTTTCAACATTTTATTTTGAGTTGGAACACTTGTCACAACACACACCCCCCCACCCCGCTTTTTTTTTTTTCAGATAATTTTGGTTTAAACACACCAGCTTTCCTTTTTTTTTTTCGGATGGAAAAAGTTTCCTTGAAAAATTTCCCACCCAGCTCTACTTAAGAATAATTGGCTCGATGATTTGCAAAGAGGCTTCTATGTTACTGAAGATACAGTGGATGAAAGACAGTCAAATTAAGATCGATCAAGTTTCCAATAGTCTGAGCAAGGCACTCTGTTTCCTTGAATGATAAACATTGACAAATCCTAGCTGCTGGAGAGCTCCGTGCTACTCTTTTGCCTGGTTTGCCTCCTGGGATTTGCTCTTGACAATTTCACAGATGAGAGAGAGGAAGGAAATCCAATCATGTTGATCTGAAGCATTTTTTTTGCATAATAAAAATGTGTAGCTAACTCTCCAAAACCTGGACTCTCCCGTGTTTCACAGCAGTGGACACAGGTTCACTTTAGAGGCAGGTATTACAGTGTGCTGTTCTGAATCTTTCCAAATCCATGCTGATTTCCTTGGGGATGTGGGAATGAAAAAAGAAGAAACCCATCAATTAAAAAGAAAAAAAGAAATGTTGACATCATGGACTAATTTTTTTGATTCCATGTATGTTTCCTTTGATCCCTTTTGGCCAATTAGGAATAATTGGATCCAAATTCAGACTAATAATACTTTGAAACATTTCAGGCTACCTTTGCTGAACCAAAGAAATGTAGATATGGGGATGAACATAAATTCCCTTGCTGGATACCCTGACTCAAATTCCTGCACAACTGTTATGGCCAGGGAATAGTGGATTTGTGACTCTGCTGTAACTGAAGCTTCCGCTCCTTGAAGATAAAGTAAAATCCAAACCCAATGACACTCGTGTTTCTTCCCAGATACACACATTATTCAAAATGAGCCGAGATAAATCAGTGAGGGGAGAGGATAGTCTAAATTTCTTGGGTGAAGTGGCAAACTCCCATTGACTTCAATGGGGCAAGGATTTCACTTCTTGTTCCTAAACTTGTTTTGAAATGTGCTTCCTCTGTATCCCTAAATCAAAATAGAGTGAAGGATGGATAGCGGGTGGGAAACATGAGAGGAATAAAAGAACAAGAAAGGCTTTTGCAAGAGAATCTTACATCCCACATACAGAACACAATGTAATGACAAAAAGCTTATGATATTTTATGTACATGAGAGGAGAAAATATTGGCTTAATTCTGGTCCCATAATCATTTCCCTTAAATGTTTAGAAGCCCTGCTTTCTTCCACAGCAGAACAATTACATTGCAAAGCATAATTATTTTACAGTCAATTAAGTACATTAAATGTGCATATTTCTGAGACCTGATTTACACTTCATCCCCACAGCACTACACGGAGCACTGCCATTCTTCCCACTAAAGCAGGACCCAGTACAGCTGTCAATGGACTCACTGGTTCAACTTCAGAGTGGAATAATTTGAATTTGAAACCAGCCTTTTGAAATGCCAATACAGCACAGCTTATTCTGTCAAGTGCATTGTGAAGACCCAAGGCAAAGCAATGCGGTATCTGTGGAGAGGCTCTATAAAACTTTTATGGCTTTAGTTCATGCCCTGATTCTTGCTGTGGTGAGCAAGTACATTTTTCATTAGTGTATCCCACAAGCCAATGAGACCTTATGCATTTAAGTGATGACCTTTCCAGTATACTCCAATGCTCGCAGCAAACACTGAGACTTGTTTTTCTTTTACTATTCAGTAATTTGTGCAGCTTTCTGTAACCCTCTAAGATCATGCAATAATCTGGGCATGGTGTTGAACTTCATCCGAGCTACTCTGTGGGTCTGTGCAGTGTCCTTGAGTGTAAGAAGTATTGGGACAGGTATCCAGCTCTTGCATCTTTTGTGAGGTTCTCCAAACTCTTAAGTCTACAGAACATCCAGTAACCATGACTAAAAAGACTTGTGGTGTGGGTCGTGCACTATGCAAAAAGGGAAGACTTATTGTCTGTCAGGTTTTTGAAAAAAATAATGATCTTACAATACTGCTTGCATAAAAAACTTTCTGAATCGTCTGTTCAAATAAAATAAAGATCATGTTGATTTCCAACCAAGCCAGGTGGTGTTGAAAATGGTGTTTCAAAATATTTTTGAAACTGAAATGAAAAGTAAAGGTCTGGCTCCTCAGCCAGAATAGATTGGTTAACAGACGTTAATGCCAATCAGTTTACTTTTGCTAAAAATCTGGACCAGAAAGCAAGCAGTCTTCGTATGTATGTGTTAGAGAAATTCACTTTGTAATATGCTTGCTTTCCTTCTCTCTGTCTTCATTTGCAGCCTCATTGCTTGACGCATAGTCACTGTTTTACCCTAATTTACTGAAAGAGTGAGCAGACACAAAGTTGGAGGCCATAAAGCCAGGGTCCACTAACAATGTTGGGCTTCTGGTGTCCTGGGAACCTCTTTCAGGACCGGAAATGTCCCTGTTTTTCATTTCACCAAGCAAATGTTCCTTTTTTTCAGATCTATAAAAAGGTTTGTTCAAGATATATTACTGCAGTGAGTAGAATTTTCTAAGTGTTTACCAGGAACTAGCAGCCCAGTAGAACAAGTATTCAGTGAGATGAAGTGTGTGAGGTGAAGAGAAAAGCCAAAAGAGTGCAGATGCTATCAGAGCTTTGCCCATAGTGAATATTAATGACACTTGTTCAGTGTTTCATGATAAACTCATTCAGATGCTATGTTACCAGGGAGAATCCTCCACTCCAGGAAATATGCCTGTGTCACTGCTGAGTCAGAAATTGGGAGCAGCATTATTTAAAAAAGAACAAGTGTATTTCTGTATGAGCATTTCAGGACCCTAAAAAAATGTCACAGAAGTCTCCCGGTTTGATTTTGAAAATATGGTCCCCCTGAATTCTTTGTGCAATTTGAATCAGGACCATGCAGTAATTCTACCTGTCATACAGGTGAATGTGCAGGCGAACAAGCTCTCTTTCAAAGTCATCAGCAGCAGATTAACGAAGATCATCCTTAATCACATGCCTGCAGCAAACAGTGTGAACTGGCAGGACTTAACAGGTTTCAATTACTGCTACAGATTTTTTTAATAATTATATTTTAATATGGGAACTGGAACCAGCTGGTCAGAACAGTCCCTCCTCAAACCTCGAATAGTAGATTGGAAGGGACAGACAATCCTGTTCCCAAAACCAGGTGTCAAATCAATTCCTCCTTTCTTTCAAATTTCAGCAGCAGAGTGGGAGGGAGCTTAGGTTCATAGGGACCCTCCATCAGCTATGGGGGCAAAGCATTTTCTGCATAAAATGGCATTATATTTCTGTGCATGTCATTAATTCTATACTCAAATGTGATGAAATTCAGCTTGCTAGCCTTGAAATAAAACCAGACTGACCAGTTCTGACATTCAGTATTGGTATCAACACTCTGTTGGGGGCGATGAAGAAGAGACACTGCCTTACAAATGTAGTAGTCCTTCCTGTGTCTAGGGAAGAAATAAAAATCACTGGAAATACAAGCTCTGGAAATCGATCATCAAAATGTTATTTAACTGGTGCAAATGACATGACCTTTCAACTGAGCAAAATGTCTCTTGTAAAATTTGTATTTGATGAATGTTGCTGATTGTTGATTAACATCTATGGCTTTCTGTTTCCATTTCTACTGGTCAGCATTTCTAATATAAATTCCAAATGCAAGAGACGGAGATGAACTCAGAAAAGAGAGCTTCTTGTGGACTTAACGTGTCCCCACTAGCAGACCCTTGCACCTGTGTTGCTGCTTACATCGGCCCAGATCTACCTGCATAGATCCAGTTCTGAGGTTGGAGCACAATGCTGTTGGGATGCTAGCGTGGGTGTAGACTCTGCATTCAGTTACGGGGGCTGTGCCCTGTCCACTCCAGCTCAAAAGTGGATTAGCTTTAAGAAATCAAACAGTTGCTTATGTGAGCATAGGAGTGGGGCATTAGCTCTGGAGAACTAGAAGTAGCATTCAGAGGGGAGTCCTAAGGGATAGTGATTTCTCTCCAGGCTGTTCCCAGGTGTCTGTAACCAGGACTAGAAAGATCTATTCTGGGGAAAGAGTCACAGTATTCTACACTCTCTAGATGCTCACATACTCATTCTGTTGGATAGGGTCTTAATGCAGAAAGCTTCTCTGGGCTTGGCTACGCTTACGTTTTATAGTGCTCTAACTTGCTGGCTCGGGGGTGTGAAAAATCACCCCCCTGAGTGCAGCAAGTCAGAACGCTTTAAAGTGCTAGTGTAAACAGGCTCCGAATGCTCAGAGCTAATCCCCTCGTGGAGGTGGATTACCAGCAGCACTGGGAGAGGTGGTCAGGTGCCAGCGAGGTTATCCTAGCTTCTTAATCCTTTACAGGTGAAAAGGTTGGTTTTTCCTCTGGCCAGGAGGGATTTAAAGGTGTTTACCCTTCCCTTTATATTTATGACACCATGTAAAAAGCATGAGGGAATTTCTGATAATTATTACTTCAATCACATACAAACTATGTTAAAAGAACATTAAGTTTGCAAACTCAACTCCTGAAAATTTAGAAAATGCTAGAATTACGGTTGCTTGTGTAACCTGAATTTGCCCCCCTTCATGTGTATGCAGTAGGGGACAGTCTTTAATTACATGATCCCATGCTATATTTCCCCCATGACCCTTGCTTCCTTCTGTCAACAGGCAGGACAGTGCTCTGGAAATGAATTGGGTTTGTGTGGTGGAGGAGGCTGTTGTCTGCAGGATTGCTGCCTCCCCTTTGAAAAAAGGCTTGCCAAGTAAACTCTGGCAAATGTGAACTTTTTTGAAAATTGCTCCTCCAGATGGTGGTTATTCAGCGTATGGGGGAGGCCCTGGGGGAGTTGTTTAGAACTCCAGAGCTTTTGGGTGTGCATGTCGTCGTCACATTTACAAAAAAGCATTTTAGTTCTCCCAAAGGAGAGCTTTGTTTGGTTGGGTAAAACATGGTGGCCTTGAGGCCACTTGTAAAGGAAATGACAGAGTGATGCTAAAATCAGCAACTTTCCAGTGTGCAGATTTCTCTCCCTCCCCTCTCCAGCTATAATTACATCACTTGGCCTGTGTTTCGTTACAACATGTGATGCAGCAAGCAGGCAGAGTAGTCAGATCTTTATGAAACATTCAGAGAGGTCAGTGTTTCATGCTCCCCCTCTGCTGTGTCTGTCCAGGCTGCACCCACAGACACAATCCAGCCTGGTTTATATCCCCTGCGCCTCTAGATTCACCCCAATGCATGTCCCTTCTGCAAACTGCTCGTCTTTTCCAGTTCCACTCATCATGCTACTGAATGAAAGGAAAAGGGAATCTTCCTTTGAGAAAGGACAGTTCAGCTGTGTTTTTTCAATGTTATTTAGCTGGCCCAGTGGTAGTGTAGTTAGAACAGAACCCAAGGGATAACAGGAAGATGCATTCGGCTTTGAACAGGGACTGTAACCTTGCAACTAATATCTCTGTAGTTATATTTTCACTGTAAGCCTCTGTTTTCAGGGCTCTGA